AACTTATGTGGTGAATTACTGGACAAAGGGATCAATTTGGATTGGATTTGATGACGTTGAGGCTGTTAGAGCTAAGATTTCTTATGCCAAGAAGAAAAAGCTACTTGGCTACTCTGTGTGGCAAGTCTCCTATGATTATAATTGGGTGCTTTCTAAAACTGCAGGTAATTAGTTAAACAAAGTACTCTATGCAATCAATACTTTTTCCCGGCTGTAGTTAACATGTTGATTTCTTTTTCCAGCTGGAGTGGCAATAAATGATTCTCCAGTTCAGGAGGATCATAATAGTGGACAAGATAATAAGAGCCCTGTTTTAGTAATTCTTTTGTCTACAACAGCTGCTGTTTCTCTTCTCTTCGGAATATTTGTGATATTTTACTGCTGGAGGAGAAATTTCAAATTAAAATGTAAGTTTCTAATAATTTATAGAGTACTGTTTCAATTGAAACTGATCAAATTAGCAGTTTATTTATTTATTTTTTCTCTTGGTTGACAGGGATGGTGCACTCCACTACAGAATCCAATGACAAGGCAAACAAAGCAGCATCAGCTGGAGATTTTAATAGCAATGTTCCTAATCTGGTAGAATATACATTGGGTGATATAGAGGCAGCAACCAATGGGTTTTCAATTGAAAATAAGCTTGGACAGGGTGGATATGGCTCTGTTTACAAGGTACCTTTGGTTACGCTATTTATCATTAATTTGAGAGCAATTTTGTGGTGCTTAACTTATTTTAGTCTTCAAGTTAATATATTTTTAGCTTTTATCTATTGACAGTTATCAACCAACTAGAGTGTTTTTTGCTAGGGAATACTTCCGGATGGACAGGTAATAGCAATAAAGAAACTTTCAAAAACATTCACTCAAGGATTTGAGGAATTCAAGAATGAGGTTATGCTCACTGCCAAGCTCCAACATGTAAATCTTGTTCGAGTTTTGGGGTTTTGTATTGATGGAGAAGAACAGATAATCATCTACGAATACGTGCAAAGCAAAAGCTTAGACTCTTACCTGTTCGGTCAGAATTTTATTTTTAGTTTTTGTACACTAACTTGCAATTTTTTTTTCCTTTTGTACTAATCTATAGTGACGGATACATTATTGATGATTAAGTTATGGTGAAATTTGGTGCAGACCCCATTAGACGATTAGTTTTGGATTGGAAAAAGCGTGTGTACATCATTGAAGGAGTTATTCAAGGGCTTTTATATCTCCAAGAATACTCGAGGTTGACTCTTGTTCATCTATATTTAAAAGTTAACAATGTCCTGTTAGATGGAGAAATGAAACCCAAAATATCAGATTTTGGAATGCCTAGAATATTTGTGAAAGATGATCTTGAAGCAAACACAAATCGTGTTGCTGGAACACAGTAAGTGTTTTACTATTAATGCTATATAATTGTCAAAAATTTGCTTGTTTTGTATATCTTGGGTCAGCTACTCACGGTTTGTAATAATCCAATACAGTGGTTACTCAACTAAATCCGATGTTTATAGTTTTGGGATTCTACTTCTGCAAATCATCAGTGGCAAAAGGATTTCCCTTTTATATGGTCTGAATGAAAGGCTGAGTCTTTCTCACTATGTAAGTTTTCTTTAATAATTCATTTGAAGGATATGTGGATCAAGATATTAGCATTAGAAAAAGTTAAATAATTTGATTAATTTCAGGCATATGAGTTGTGGAATGATGGTCAAGGCATGGAGTTTATGGACGAATCATTGGACGATACATATTCGTTCTGTAAATTAATGAGATGCTTGCAAATCGCTCTGTTATGTGTCCAGAAAAATAAAGTTGATCGACCATCTATGTTGGAAGTTTTAACAATGCTAAAAAATGAAAAAACAGATATCATGATTCCAAAGAAGCCTGGTTTCTCGAAACAAAATGAACAAGATAAATCTATAATGCAGTTGGGAGATTATTCAGGGTGCACTCTCTCAATTAATGATGTAACAATTTCAGATCTGGTACCCAGATAAATTTTATTATGTAGCTTTTGAGATTGGTAATGTGTGTGTCCTGGACTTCTGCTAAGCTAGATAGGTTCAATTCCTTTGCTGCATTGTGGGTTTTATTTGGTGTAGTTTTGTATTACCCTGTTTATCAATTAATGTTCAAGCAACGTACGTTTAATGAAATCACTTGAAAGATCATATTTCCTCTAAATTGTCAAATAACATTACCAAAAATAAGTGAAACAGAAAGCACATTACTTGGGAAAATGTTTAAAAGCAGAGCTTCAATGGAGGGCCTGAAAGCTCATTCCATGAAATATGAACTTGTTAATTCCTTCACCAGGGAAAGAATCTCTTTATCTGTCTGCAACATATATATTATCCTTAATTCCTTAGGGTTCAACTTCAGCAGGGTTCCAATATTAAAGTTCAAACTGATACCCTCAACTTCTGTAGAACTAGCACCTGCAAATAAAGGGGAAACTCTAGTTAATCTAAAGGTGCCTCCTGAAAGTACAAGCAGATAATGCATACAGAACTGAAGAAACTAAAACCTGTCCCGTTATTGTTTCAATCTTCAAGAAATAATACACAACTTTTTGATCCCTGTTTTTGGTGGAGTCCAATTTATAGTGAGAAGAAATTAACATCTTCCACCGTTGGCCTTGAATTGATTTGGGCTTTTATAGATCTGCAAAATTTTGCTGAACATTCTGTTTAATTTTGCTGAATTTTTTATTAAGTGGAGATGTATTATTATTAATTTGGTGTTTATTTATTAATTTAGAATTAAGATGAATATGGAATATTGTGTAGAAATATAATGGCTCCGTTTGGTTGGTTTTTGGGAATACTATTATTAGGATTCCCAAAAAAGTTAAACAGTAAAATGTCCAAAAACTCACAATATTATCCAATATTATTCAACTTTTTTTAACCCCCTAAATTTGTTAATTTAATTAAATATCCCTAAATATTTTTTTCGAAATTGCAAAAACACCCATAAACCCACATTATACCAAATTCTAGCCATCACTACCGGAAGTTGGCCAGAATCTGATATAATTCAGCCGGTAGTGTGCCGATCTAGCATTTTCCAACTAGATCCACGGTGGATCTAGCTGAAAAATGCCAGATCTAAGGCCAAAGATCTGGTCGTTGATGGCCAAATTTTTGGCCGTAACCAGACGTCAACGATGGCCAACATATGGTCATCGTTGACCATCAACGACGGTCGTATCTTTGGCCATCGTTGACGAGCAAATGCGGCCAGATCTGACAATCAATGGTCAGATCTAGCCGTAGATCTGGCATTTGCCGGCTAGATCCACATTGGATCTGGCCAGCAAAGGCCACATCGACGCACAACTAGCAAGATCCAGCCAGTTATGCGCCGATACGGAGACTTCGGCCACCCTCCGGTGGTGGTGGCCGGCTGTGATTGTTCAATGGGTGGATTAGGAGTGTTTTTGTTAACTTTCAAAGTTTTATTATAGGGGTGTTTAATAAATAAATAAACATAAGGGGTATTTTTATTAATTTCTAAATGCTACATCGTAATACCCGTCCAATTCAACTTTTCTCAACTTTTTTTAAAAAACTTTTCTAAAAAATACAAAAAAGTGAACCAAACGGAGCCAATATTTTGATAATTATTAATAAGGGTAAAAGGGACATTTAGCTAAATTCAATAGACAGATAAGAACAAACTCTGGAACATTAATGGGTTTTCAAACTACTCTAAAATATCACAAAACCCTTATAATATATTAAAGTACTCTAAAATAATAAATAACTCTCTAAAAATATCAATAATCCCTTTGAACATGGATGTTTTTAATAGTTTTCTAAAATCACAGTAACATTTATATATATATATTGGACAACAACAAAAGTCCCACAATTGGACATACCCAAACAATCATGTACTGAAACGACATGTGGCAGTTAATACCACGTGGTTGTTGATTACGTGGGGTCGTCCAATGAGATGGGTCATGGGTATAGAATGTAACTATAGTTTTTTCTTTTTTAAATAAAATATACAAAAAATTTCATGAAAATACACTTGATAAAAAAGCGTTTAAATATTTTCGAGATTTTCGGATATAATCTTAAGAACGAGTATAAAATCAGAAAATGATTAAGAGTTTTTTTCTATTATTTTTAATTTGAAAACATTTTTTGAATCAAATATTAAAAATATTTAGAAGTAATTTAAAATTTGAATCATATTTTAGTTTTTGGAAATTATTTTTACATTTTAAATCAAAAGACCCTAATATTTTTTTTCCTTGCCCTAAAATGAATCTATATATAAGATATGATATTATGGGACAATTTTGATCGACCAAAACAGGAGAATTAAAGCTTTTTTTTTTTTTTTTTTTTTTAGCACTATGATATGCATTGTTTTGGGAAAATATAATGTTTAAATTTGAACATATACATTCTAATAAGTATCTAATATTAACACTGAAATTCTTTTGGATTTCTTGAAGACGACTATTGCTCTTCTATTCACTTGAAGACGACTATTGACTTCACAAATGTTCAATTAAATTATATGCAATTTTTTTCAATTGGGTTAATAACAGAACTGATGATCTCTATGGTCGGTAAATAATTAAAAATCACTAAAATAAGAGATTGAAATTATGTTGATGCTTTTTTAAAGTCTTAATTACGGTAAGCTATCATCTCACATCCTTAGGTATTTTCTAAATTTTAAGAATGATTATTTGAAACTATGCCTTACTGACATTTTAAGTGTTTGAATCCAAAATTTACTGATGCAGTACTTCGAACTATGAACTCAATGAAACACTAAAAAAGGGGTGAATCCAAGCTCAATCTGGAAGTAAAATTACTATTTTCCTTAACATTTTTTCTTTTTGCAATGGCCATCTACAAAAAAGATAATTTCCTTCATAACTGCTTTCCCCAAAAATTATAAATTGTGCAGTTAACAATTAAGAAAATTCAAAGCTTGGATCTGTCTTACACTTTGGAAGGCTAGAAGAGACATATAACATGATTGAGCGAATGCCTTTCAAGCCAAACGGAGGAACTTTGCTTAGTTCTTGTAGAGTTCACAATAAGGCGAGTATGGGTGAGGCTACTGCTAAACATCTCTTTTAACTAAAACCTACAAATTCTGGGAACTACATCATTGGTCCAATATATATTCTTCCAAAGGCATCTGGGTTGATGTGGTTAGAGATATGATGAAAGCTATAGGTTTGAGGAAGAGCCTTAGCGATAATTAATTGGAAAATAAGAGTGGTTTTATTCATCCATTAATGGAGTAAAAAACCCCATTTTTTTAGTTATTTCTGTAAGTGCAAATTTATCTTTACAATCGCCATTCAACCTAGTTATTTTTTCCGAAGGCCATGTAGTTTTTCAAGGGATGGACACGGGCCGGGCCGGGCCGGGTCGAGGACCCTATTTCCGAGCCCGGCTCAAGGGCCCAAGGGGAATCCCTGAACCCGACTCATCCCCAGAATGAGGATGTAGGAGAATCCCCGAGCCTAGCCCGTGGGGAATTCAAGGATTGTATGATTATAGTTTTACTTTAACTTTTACTTTATTTATTTTTAGACCCAAATTTTTTATTTGTGTGAATATATGTAACATATATATTAGGTAATTATATACATATATATTAACATTTACATATATATTAGGTAGGTATATATATAATTGAATCACAATAACATAATATCATTTTTAATATATATATATATAGATAAATATATATGTGTGTGTGTGGTGTGTGTGTGTGTGTGTGTGTGTGTGTGTGTGTGTGTGTTCTTTTTCAATATCATTTTTAACATTTGGCTATAGATTTTAATAATTTATGTTAAGAAATAATATGTTTTAATTTGCCATCCGAATATTTAAAAATACCTTAATATTGATTCTAATTCCATAATTACAAGATTATCTCCTTATTTTAATTTATAATGAAAGATTTTTATCAATGGACTTCAAGATCTATAATTAACTTATTTCTAAATCTTCATTTTTAATTTACCTTTTTAAGACTTTCCTCATTTAAAAAATAAGAAACCTGAAATTCATTTTTTATGCTTCTCTCTTGTCTACTAATTTAGATGATACTTCAAATACCGCCAAAACCCTGGTGGCTGAAAACCGCAACTATAGAGATTTTCAGAAAATACCAAACGGGTTAATAGGGATGGTGCAAGGCGTTGTAGGGAACGATATTTTTCCAGCTCAATGATTCATAGCAGATGGTGATCACTTCTCAAGTAGTCAAGGAATCACTGAGGCCTCGGAAAGTAGCCAAATATTGGTAGCCTAGAGAAGTGGGATGGTTTCATTAAGGAAGGAAAAGTGAAAGAAGCTATGGAAGTTTTAGGCGTGTTAGAAAAGCAATGTATTCCAGTTGATTTGCCGGGACTGCTAAAGCTAATGCAGGCGTGTGGGGAAGCCAAAGGTTTAGAAGAAGCAAAAGCTGTGCATGAACACATTGTAAGAGCAACGAACCCTCTTAAAGTCAGCACCTACAACAAGATCTTAAAAACATATTCACAATGTGGCTCTATGGATGATGCGTTTAATGTCTTTAATAATATGGAGCAACACAATTTGACATCTTGGGACACCATGATAACAGGCCTTGCAAAGAATGGTGTAGGGGAGGATGTCGTCCATTGCTTCTCTCGATTCAAGCGAACAGGACTAAAACCGGAAGGTCAGATGTTCATCGGGGTTTTCTTTGCCTGTAGTGGTTTGGGGGATTGAGATGAGGGAATGTTGCACTTTGAATCAATGATCAATTACTATGAGATTATTCCGTCCATGAAGCATTATGTGAGTATAGCTAACATGTTGGGAAGCATAGGGTATTTAGATGAAGCATTGGAATTCATTGAAAAGATGCCAATGGAGGCAAGTGTTGATGTTTGGGAGACATTGATGAATGTTTGCAGAATTCATGGGAATTTGGAGCTTGGTGACCGATGTGTTGAGCTTGTTGAGCAACTAGATCCCTCACGTTTGAATGAGAAGACAAAGTTAGGCCTTGTACCTGTTAAAGCATCGGATACTGTGAAAGAGAAAAAAAAAAAGGAGAGAAAGTACCATGACTTTCAAACAGGAGATACATCTCATCCAGAGAGTGATAAGATATATGCTCTTATTAGAGGTTTGAAGGCTCAAATGAAAGAGGCTGGTTACATTCCGGAGACAAAATTTGTGCTACACGACATAGTCCAAGAAGGTAAGGAGGAAGCTCTTCTTGCTCAAAGTGAGATACTCATTGTATCGCAAGGTCTCCTCTGCAGCCATGCCCGTGCTCCCATTCGGATAGTAACGGACTTTCATATTTGTGGTGATTGCATGCTGCAGTGAAAATCATCTTGAAAATTTTTGGTAGAGAACTCATTATACAGGCTGAGGAGAGATTCCACCATTTTAAAGATGGATTGTGCTCCTGTCGGGACTATTGGTGACCACATTTGAGTCTAAGGTACTCAGTTAGCACTGTTTGAGTTGGTAGCACATCCAAGAGGCCAGAGACCAATTGAGGAATTTTGTGAGGAAAGATTTTGTTCCTTGTGTTCATACACCATGTCCAATTAAATAGAATTTTTTATGCATTTAATCAGAAGAATAGGAAAGGTTCCCAAGATGCATTTAATCAGAAGAATAGGAAAGGTTCCCAAGATATATTTATGTTGCAATTTTACTTCAACAATTTTTTTTTTTTAATTTCTTAATGTTTTTTTTAATTTATTCGTGTGAAAATGTTTGATTATTTGCAGGATTTAAACTTCAACAGATTCAGTTCATTCCATCACCAAGAAATTCTTAAGATGGTCTTCTCCAAGAAAATGCGTACTCTGTTTGATCTTGCTTCCACTCAACTATAATATATTTATATGTATTTTTCACAAAAATTCAGTGCATTTTAATTTGGTTGAATTTGAAAGAATTAGCAACTATTAATGAGAAAAATTGCTTCATTGAGTTCATAGTCTTAAGTGTTTGAATGGATCTAAAACAGAGAGTCATAGATAGAAGTACTGTTGCATCAGTAAGTTTTGCATTTCAAACACTTTAATGCCTCTAAGCATAGTTTCTAATAATCATTCTTAAAATTTCCTAATATTTTAAAACTTGAAACACACCATTTTATGGCTTTTAGACTTGAAGAATGCAAAAACATATTATAATTTGTTCAAATTAAAATTCTCTAGAACCAATTTCCCGGAAACAACACATTCACATGCAAAAATCATTGGCCGATTTAAGGAATTATTGCTTCTGTGATCAAGTTGGTCAATCGAAAAACAATGGGCAGAAATTGATGGGCAGCTCTGTTATAAGAGAGCAGCTCTTCAAAGCTCAAACAAATTAAGAAGACCAGAAATTAATTGAGAAGTTGATTGAGAGGCATAAATGTTTGTTAAGGAAGGAAAAAACCCCAAGTCAATAGCAAACTTGATCTGTACCTACTATAAATGCCATAAAATGTTTGTTTTTGTGTGTGCTTTGTATGGGTTCAAAACTTTGATCAATCAACAGTAATTTATTATTTCTAATAATGTTAATGATCAATTTATTGCTCTTCATTACATAATATTCGAATATCAAACCATACAAGGATTTGAATCCACTTCTGTACTACTGGACTCATCTTGGCTTATTCTCAAATAAAACATTACTTCAAATAGATACTCACCTTTGAACAGCTTTCTTTCTTGGAAAAGCAAAGCACCCAACTCTCTACAATGAAGCTCACTGCAACCTCTGCCATGCTTATTTTAATTGCTTTTCAAAGTCATTGTGTTGATTTTGATAATCTGTATGTAATAACTTGGATTTAAAGAAAAACACAACCGATTACAAAAATAGGAGAGAAAACTAACCAAGTGTTTCACTTGCCAATCTTGAAGCTGGTTCAGATTTGAATTGGTACAAGTAGTCAAGTTGCTCATGCATCATTAGGCAACATGGACTTTGATTCGGGTTCATAAATTTGATCATCACCATCAGTATCTATTTCAGCATTGTTATGTTCAGCCCTAAAAATATCACAGTCGTGGCAAAACCAATCACCTTCAGGTACAGTAAAATAGACTATCATCATTGGTGCCCTAGCACACTACACTTCACATGAGCATAAGGATCAAAAGGCCCAACTGTTGCATTTCCAAAATGGTGGTAAACTTGGAAGACTAAAACATATTTAAAAATATAGTACTTACAGACAAAAAAATATTTGGCATCTGAGGGAAAAAACAATATACTTTTAATGTCAAATTTGGATTAATTAACGCCAAAATCAAGCATTGCATCAAACTCTTCTTTGATGTCCAGAAAATAAAATTTGGCAACTACAATATACTTTTAATGGTGGTAAACCTGCAAAACTAAAACATATTTAAAAATACAGTACTTATAGACAAAAAAATATTTGGCATCCCAGGAAAAAACAATATACTTTTAATCTCAAATTTAGATTAATTAACGCCAAAATCAAGCATTGCATCAAACTCTTCTTTGATGTCCAGAAAAAAAAAATTTGGAAACTACAATTACCTTTAACCATGCCAAAATTGATATGATATACAAACTGAATTGTTTCCAGGTTGAACAGTTAAAAAAACCAAACCAAATTGTAGAATATGCAACCACAGAAGACTCATACCCTCCCTTTAAACAAATAAAAGACAAATTCAGTGTAATGTTGTTTCAATTTTTCTTCATTTTTCACCAAGGATTTCACTAGTTAGGACCTTCTAAGATATGGAACTTATGCAATCAAATTTATCATATATTAATTGCTCAAGTAATGAATGCAGATAAAATTACATACTTGAAAATATATACCCACATATGTTGTTCCAATTCATTTGGAATGCTACTTCTGTTTTTACAAATTTAATTAGTATGTAACCTTTTTTTCACTACTCACCACAGAAGAAGGCTTCCATACAAACTGAACTCTTGAGTCCTGAGAGCTATCTCAAAATAACCAAAACTGGAGCACTCACCATCTGTAGGTTCCAGTTCAAAGAGATGTTTAGCAGCAGCCTCACCCATACTCACATTATCATGAACTCTACAAAAACTAAGCAAAGCTCCCTAAACACAAGCGTTTGGCTTGAAAGACATTCGCTCAATCATGTTATATGCCTCTTCTGGCCTTCAAACACGACCTAGGAAGGTCACCATGCAAGCATAATGCTCCATCCTTGCTTCAATACCATGCTCTTTACACATGCTATCAAAAACTTTGTAGCCTTCATCAGCTAGACCAGCCTAGCTGCAAGCAGATAATACACAAGTGAAGCTAATAGAACAAGGCTTTTGTCCACTCTTGCATCAAATGAAAAATCTCTATAGCTTCTTTAGCCTTTCCATGCAGAGCATATCTACGCATAATAGAGTTCCAACAAACCAAGTTTTTGGATGACATCATGTAAAACAAATTGAATCCTTCCACACTTTGCATAAATATCACTTAGTGCCGCAGACACGTAAATAGCATCAGATATTCCTCTTATGATAGAAAAGCAATGAGCCGCCTTCCCAAGCATCAATGTTGCAATACTTCCACAGGTTGATAGCAAGGTATTGTAACATTGTTTGGCCTCATCCCCGCTATCTGCATCTCTCTAAAAAGTTCCAATGCATCAATACCTTTCCCATTTTGTGAGAAACCAGCAATCATTAACGTCCAGGAGACAACATTTAATTCCATTCCTTGGCTCTGGAATTGCCTTAAGACCTCCAATGCATTGTCAACAAGACCATTACTACAGAGACCTGTAACAAAAGCATTGCAATCACTTACATCCACATTTTCCATTCACGAAACACTTTGGACATCTTCCATGGACACTCTCACTTTCCGTACATATCAATAAGTGAACTACTAACGTTAAAGAGTTTTTTCGCTATATCCACGCACCCTTATCGCGCGTAAGCCACAAGCAGAGCACTAAAAGCTTTCACAAATAGTTGGGCTAATCTGTCAAACACTTTGTGAGCATCCCCAATGTTCTAAACTTTACTGTCGTATCAATCAAAGAAGAGTGAACAAACGAATCTAAATTAAACGTATACAAACACATAGAATCGAAGTCTTGGTGATTTACATATTGAACAGAAGTTCTGTTGCGAGATCCATGTCATTAGAGACTGCCGGTTTTGAGAACGTGAGCATGCTCTTGCTTTGTCTGTAGAGAGATGGATGAGTGAGTGATAGGTATGAAGGATTGCATGGTTACCCTTCTAGGTCGTGTTGGAAGGCTAGAAGAGGCATATAACATGATTGGGCAATGCCTTTTGAGCCATGCAAAGCTCTTGTAGAGTTCACGGTAATGTGAATATATGTTCTGAAGACATGTGGACTAAGGTAGAGGTGTGCGGGAGATACGAAAGCTATGGGACTAATGAAAAATAGACTCTAAGTATCTCTTCCCACGTGGCAGATATTAATGGTTTTATTTGAACTCATCCTACGAGAATACCTTAGAACACTGTTATAATATAAAGTCACTCCATTATTCTCATTCACAAATTCTTAGTCCACCATAAACTGCCGTTAACTCTTCGTCGCAACCGCTGAAAAGATGCCGTCAGCCGGTATGTATTTGCTATTATTTATTTTCCTTTTTTTTTCCTTTCATTCTCGAATGAAAATTTGCATTCATTTAAATGTTATACCTCTATTTTGTCAGTTATTCTTAATGTAGGATAGGCTTTGATCTGCCGACTATTTTGTTTGTTACAATTTGGTGATGTTATGTAATTTTAAGGGCAATTGGGTGGTTCGAATCTGCAGAACGTGGCCAATTTTGTTATTAAAATCTGATGACTTGAGAGCTCTAATGAGTTAGTTTGCATGCTTTGCATACCGGAACACACGAAAGTGTTTGTTTTCGCGATTAGAGAACCTGAATCACAATCTGTGGTGTATATACTTTGCCCAAACTTTTCGAAGAGATGGGCTCTAGATGTCGAGTGTCTTATCAGGAAAGTGCGCTCCGATAGTGTTGTAGCTCAAGTGAGTGTCTTATGAAAATATGAAAGAGACCGGTATGACCAATCCGTGTCCTGGCAACATTTGGAGTGTAGCTCCTTGAATTGTGTATGGAGATGGGATTGATATGTTGCTGAATCTTTGCCCATAGCTCCTTAATTGCTAGTTTGGGCATGATTCAATCTACAGAGGCATGTTAGAAAAGTAAAGCAGACGATGCACCAGGATTCAAAAATCTATAGAATCACTGACTTACAGGTTGAAGAAAGTATAGATTGAATAAAGTAAGAATTAAAACTCATTGATGATTTCAAAAATTTCATAAATTGATGATGAAGATTAATCTTCTTATGTACAAATGAATCTAGGCAGGATTATTTTTATTATCAGGCGTCCAAGTTCTAATCATAGATTTTTTTTGGTGCACCAATGAGTATATATTATCAGTCTTGAGATGGATGGGATTCATAATCCTTGCTTCCTTCTGTACTTCCTTCTGTTTTGCAATATCATGATTTATTGACTTGAAGCAATACCTAATCAATGCAATTAAAGCATAATTGTCTTGGTTTAGCACTTTGTAGTTTTTCTTGATCCCATAATGTTTACTTTATTTGAGAAGAAGTGATATAATCTACTTTTGATATCCTTATCATTGGAATCCTATCT